GAGGTTTAATTCCTAACGCCTTATGGCAAATGGATGTTACCCACTTCAATGAGTTTGGCAATCTAAAATATGTACATGTCATTATTGACACATATAGTGGCTTCATTTTTGCCACTCTCCAGACTGGAGAAGCTGCTAGACACATTATAGCCCATATGCTGTCAGCCTTCTCAGTTCTGGGATGTCCTCAACAGCTTAAGACTGATAATGGCCCTGGCTATACCAGTACCTCCTTTGCTCAATTTTGTAAGAGCCTTAATATCCTCCACACCACAGGTATACCTTATAATCCTCAGGGACAAGGCATTGTTGAACATGCGCATCGTTCTCTTAAATTCACCATAGATAAAATAAAAAGGGAGACATGGTACCCCACCTGGGGGTCCTCTAGAAATGTCCTTTCACATGCTCTTTTTATTTTAAATTTTCTGACCCTGGATGCTTCAGGCTGCTCCGCAGCATCTCGGTTTTGGCATACTCAGAGTCAAACATGGTTTGCGTATGTTTTATGGAGAGACCCACTAACCAATGTGTGGAATGGCCCTGATCCAGTCCTTATCTGGGGACGAGGTTCAGTGTGTGTTTACTCTCAACAAGATAGAAAAGCTAGATGGCTACCTGAATGCCTCGTAAAACAAGTAGACAGTTCTTCAAAGATCCCATGTAACGCCCAGGAATAATGTTATTTCCTGAGGCACAATCCCCTGTGTTCTCTTACAGGTGACACATCTCCCTGGAGCCTTATGCTGCCTAGTCAGCCTTCTCCTTGAGCCACACCACACCCATGGTGGATTTCGATCCCTGCCAAACAGACTACAACTGCTGACAGCCATGCACAGAACCCCATGACTGCGGAAGAGGCTCTTCTCAGTCTGGAGGAACATACACCAGCCAAATAGACTACATCCAGTGTTATGCAAGGCATGCTCCAAGAAATAGGAGAATGACTTCATATACAGACACCAACAAATGGCTGTCAACCCCTTCTCCTCGATTTGGGGGAGGGTTTCCCTTACCTAGTGCCCCTTTTGGGTCCCCTAGCTGCCCTATTGTTTCTCCTTTCTGTGAGTCCTTGTATTTTTCAGAGATTATGATGTTCATTAATAACCGGATAGACGCGTTTATGGCAAAGCCCATTCAGGTACACTATCATCAGCTGGAGATGGCAGATCAACAAACCTACCGGGAAGGAATTCCCACGAGTGGCCCATATGATGATGCGGCCTAACTGCCCTGGGGCAATGGACAGGCAGTCAGAGACGGGCAACTAGGACATGTATGTTAACTGCATCGGCTGCCTAAGACAGGCACAGGACCAACTGCTGTCCTGCAAGCCCATGACGGGTAAGGCCTGGTTGGGTTCATGCAATGAGGTCCTTGACCTAAGACAGACGCTGTCCTCACAGGGCCTGCCATACTCTTAATTAAATAATATAAAAAGGGAGGAGATATAGGGAGCCAAGTGACAGGCATTGCTGCCTCCATGCCTCTCTCTCCTATGGGCACTGCGTCTGCCTACATTAACCATAATCCTCTCCTGCTTACATCACATATCCGGATGTGACGGTGACCCTGTTGTATTCATCTCTTTAACCTCTTCCTGTCCCAGCTCCTGCCCTTAGCCTATAAAAGGTGTGATCATTTCCTGAATAAACTGGAGGCTTGATCAGATTATCTTGACTTGCCTCTATCTCTCTTTGTCTCCCCCATGTCTTTTATTTAATCCCCGTTCCCCCTCCAGGAGTTCTGGATAGGTTGATCTGCAGGCCGGATCATATGTTCACACAAAAACCTGTATATAAATGCTTATAAAAGCTCCATTTATCATCACCAAAGATGGAAAATAATCTACAGGTTTTCAATGACGAAACGAACTATGGTGTAGTCCTAAAAACTGTTAGGGAAAAGAAACCTATTAAGGAAGCCCATCAGAATCACAGCTGACTTCTCACCACGAACTCTGAGGTCAAGGAGAGCATGGAGGGAAGTATTTCAAGTTCCAAAGGAAGATGACCTTCAATAGAGATCGATGTACCCCACAATCGATGTACCCCACATCTTTCAAAACTGAAGGAGAAATAAAACACTTCCATCACAAAGAACATCTGAAGAAACTTATCACCATCAAACCAGCACTCCAAAATTTTTTTGAAGGACATTCCAGAAAGAGATAACAAGGACTACGGTTCCATGAACCCCAGCAGAAGAAATCTACCAGGCAAAGCATACAGTTAAAGAGGGAGAGGAAAAAAGACAGGGAGCCAACAACAGGAAAATAACACCATAAGCATAAGTCAATATGTATCAGTTATTACCATCAGTGCTAATGGTCTCAAATCACCAATCAAAAGACACAGGCTGGCAGAATGGATCAAGAAGCAAAATCCAACAATATTCTGCAAGGAACCCAAACCCCCCATGAGCCAGCAGAAGTTGTGCTGGCCAGAGGAGAACCAGAAAGCCACACCTCACCACAAGCCAGCAGAACTCATGCCCTCTGGGGAGAACCAGGAAGCCGTGCAACACCCTCAGGTGGAAGCAACCAGCTGATTCAGAGGATCACAGTCTGAGCTGAGAGCAACTGAACCAAAGTAACAGTTTAACACTTGTATTGGCTGATTGACTTTGCAAGCCTAAAGCCAGCAGTGTGAGCTAAGAGGCTAACAAGAGGCATTTTGGTAGCATTGTTTTCCTATTATCTTGTTTTGAAGTCCTGTATAACTTTCATTGGGTTTTTTTGTTTTGATTGGTTTTATTCGGTTGTACTTTGTGTGTTTTTCTCTTTAAAATTAACAACAAAAAACCACCCCAATATGCTGCATACAAGGAACACATTTAATTCATTTTTCTTTCTTTCTTTTTCTTTTTTTTTTTTTTTTTTTGCTTTTTTGAGACAATGCAGTTAGTTCAGGCTGGTCTTGAGCTCATTTTGTAGCCCAGGCTGGTCTCAAATTTCAATGATCCTCCTGACTTAACCTCCTGAGTGCTGGGATTACAGGCTTGCACCACCATGCCCAGCTAAACACATTTAATTCAAAAAGGAACTCATAGACTGAAAATCCAAGGATGGAAAACTGTCTTGATTACTTTTCTCTCATTGCTAGGACAAAACACCCAATGCCCAAAATAAAGGAATTAAAGGTTTGTTTAGCTTACAGTTTTTGGAGGTTTTTGTCTATAATCAGCTGGCTCCAAGGCAGGGTGGCATGGCATGGGGCAACACTTAAAAGGCAGCAGCCAGAGCAAAAGGAGAGTGGCAACAGGTCTCTTCTCCTCCCTTATACTGTACACAGGCCACTCCCTACCCCCAGGGTGGGTGCAGCACTCACACAATCTCCTTGCCCTCCTTTGCACAGGATAAGGATATTTATAAAGTAAGAACCCTGGTAAGATCCCTGCTGAGTCTCTCAGTTAAACTTCTAAACTTCTCAAGTTGACACAATGTATAAACCATAACAATCCACCCCTTGCCAACCAGATATATTTCTTTAAAGGAGCCTCCAGATACACAGTTTAACAATCCATAAGAAAACCAGCATTAAGTCTATCAACATTATATTACGTTAGAAGCATAACATTTTGTCCTTCGCCCTCCAAAAACTCACGCATATCCCTTTATGCAAAAAGCATTTAGTCTATCTGCAAGAGCTGCCAAAGTCCTAACAGTTTTAGTATTGCTGAAAAGTTTAAATACCAAGTCTCCTCCAAGATGGAGGCAAACTCTTAGCTGCATTACCCCTGTACAAATAAAAATAAAATTAAACACTTCCAACATGCAATGGAACAAGATAAGCATTCCCATGCCAAAATGTACTAATAGAGGGATATAAAGGAATGGGACCAAAGGAAGTCCAAAATCCAGCAGGGCAAACATTAAGTCCTGGATTTCCATGCTCAGCATCTGAAGTAATATGGCTGTGAGCTCCAAAAGGCCTATGTGGCTCCACCACCACTTCTGGTGCGTTTAGATCCCACAGCTTCTCTCTTGGGCTGGCTTTGCTCTTTCTTTGCAGCTTTCCTTAGACGATCCATGCTCCTGGCTTTTTTAAATGTCTGAGGTCACCACTGTACTTTGGCTTCACACTCACAGCTTCACATACTGCCCTCTCAGGGGCGCACTGCTTGGCCTCTCAGACCCTCTGAAATCAGGATGGAAGCCTTTTTAACCTCAGAACTCGTGCATTCTCCATGTGCCTAAAACTAGTGGCACATGGGTACTTTCAAGGGCAGTAGCCAGGCTTTCCTCTGCCTTGGCTGTAGCGGTCAAGTGCATGAATTGCTGAGCACTCTGAACCTGATTATGAAGAATAAATTTTCTATGTCGCTGCCATTCTACAACATGGTCTCTGTGGCTTTCTTCTCCAAGAAAAGTCTTCATTTTGCAGTTTTAAGATTGCAAGGTGTGGGGGTCTGCTGCCTCTTCCCATGATGCCTACAGGCCATCTTTTTTGTTGTTGTTGTTTGGTTGGTTTTTTCCTTCTCAGCAATTGAGATCTCAGCTTTATCTTTACAATTCACAACTTTACTGGAGTTTTCCTTCTGGCCAAACTCACAACATTTTAAATCACTCTGCTGGGCTCTTTACTCTTGATTCACAACATAAATCTGGCTAAAAGCCCCCAACAATAGCTGTGCCACAGCCTTAACATTCAACTAGCTTGAAATTTCTTCTGTCAGATTAATCAGTCCACTGCCCTTAATCTCAGCCTCAAGCAAAGTCTCTGGGCATGAGCAAAATGCAGACAAACTTTCCGCCAAGCTATTAATACACATCATTTTGAGTCCAACAACCAATGCAGTCCTTCTTCCAAAAGGATAGCTCCCAAGCATGTGTTGGGAGCCACCACATTGCCGAGCCGCCGCATATAGCGATCATGCGGCCTGTGGTAAAGAGTAAAGCCTGAGTTAGATTACCCCTCCCATCGAGCACGTTAGTTTCCTGCTTACCGCGTAAACAACCCGCTCAATAATATGTTAGCCAATCAGCTTGCCTTGCTTACTTTAATATGATTGGACACTGTATCCGTATATATACTGGTACCACCCCTGGGGGGAAGTAGAAGCCTGGAAGGAGCCGCGGAGAGCGGACCGGTAGAGGCTTCGGAGCGAAGCACGGAAGGAGCCGCGGGGAGCGGACCAGAGGAGGCTTCGGCTGGGAGCGATCCCAGGGCAGGCTGTACGGAGAGAAAATAAAAGAAAAGGTTGTCCACTGCCAGACTTTGTCGTGTGTCCTTCCTGCCGGCCGGGAGCGACATCGACATTTGGTGGCCCGTACGGGGAACAACTGATCACCCCCGAGACGTGGTAGTGGACAACGTTCCTTGATACAGCACTGCGAGACAGGTGAGTAGGGGATAAACCTGGGCCCTGGGTGGCGCGCACCTACAGGGTTTTTAGACTCCCCTCAGGCTCACGCGTAAGTGGCGGATTTTTGGGCCTCACACGGTGAGTAACATATTAAATATGGGTAACGTACCGAGTAACGACACCCAGCCCTTGGTACAGGTCCTCCGGAAGCTCTTAAAGTCCAGAGACCTCAAGGTGGGACACAAAACGCTGGAGAGCTTTTTTGAGGAGATTGATAGTTTCGCTCCCTGGTTCTTGCCCACAGGGCACTTAAACCTGCCCTCGTGGGAGAAGTTGGGCAGGGATCTTTCTCTAGCGGAAAGGGAGGGCGGGGCTTCGGTCTTCGCTCGGCCACTGTGGGAAATGATATATGCATGCTTGAAGAGCGAGGGTGGTTGCAGGGAAGGTTCTCAAGAGCTCATTAAAGTGCGTAGGGCATTCAAACAGGCCCAGTCAGGGAGCTCCCGGGAGGGGTCCATCAAAGGAGACAAAGATATAAAGGAGGAAGACGGGGCTCAGGCCTCGGAGTCGTCTGACTCCGAGAACGAGGAAGGCTTAGACAACGATGAGACCAAGGAGCCTAGATGCCAAGAGGATAGGCCGCTCGATAAGGAGTCGCAGGGTTCTTTCCCAGCGTTGCGCCGCGAATTGCGCTCCGCTCAACTTGGTCTGCGGAGGAGTAGAGAGCTCCTGAGCGCCCCCTGGCGCGAGAGGGAGGCGAAGCCTTCCTCCCCACCTTGGGGGCTGTTCCCGGAAGCGATCCCTCGCCACGAGGCGGCCGCGTGGGAGCTCCCTCCCCTTTCGCCAGAACAGGAAGTGATGCACGGGCCCCCATTTTCCGCCCAATCACGGCCGCCGTCTTATGCTCCGCCGCCGGCGGGTCGGTATTTTTACAGGCGGCTTTGGCAGGGGGGACGTTTGTCTCATGAGGTACATCCACCACCTGGGATAGATAGTGGCCCCTACGGGATATTTCCTGTACAAGTAGCTATGGGCCAGGGACGTAATGCATGGGAGCCTTTTGAGATAAAGCAGATTAGAGAACTTAAAAATGCAGTTACAACCTTTGGGCCGACTGCGCCTTACACCATTGCCATGCTGGAGAACCTGTCTTCTGGGCCCCTCACCCCCGCGGACTGGATTCAGCTGGCAAAGGCGTGTCTGCCCTCGGGTAGTTACCTGGATTGGCGAGCCTGGTACACAGAGTTCTCTGCCGAGCAGGCTGAGAAAAACGCCGGTCGAGGAAATGGGGGCTGGGGATTTAGCTTAGCGGCATAAGCGCCTGCCTTGTAAGCAGGCAATCGCCAGTTCGATCCCTGGTACCAATAAAAAAAAAAAAAAAAAAAACAAAAACGAAAAAGATAAAAATAAAAAATAAAAAATAAAAAACAAAAAGGGGGAGTAAGCCAAGGCCTGCCTCCAAAGGCGCGGTTATCTATGGCATGACAATGGATGGGCCCGGATCCGGTAATCAGCTGGAACCGAGGCGCGGTTTGTGTTTTTCTGCAGGAATCGGGACGAGAACCACTGTGGGTACCGGAGAGACTGACACGGGCGACAAAGCCCTCGACTAAAGATCAGACCTGCCCTACCGGAGATCCATCACAGACCAACCAACAAGATGAATAAAAATAGCGGTAGCCCAAAATGGACAAAAAGATCCTCAGGCATATGCATGGCTCGCTCGCCTAGCCTACGACCGAGTCTAGGGACGGTGAGCTTCCCACACTCCTCCTCTAAAAAATTATGATATAGCAGGGTAGATGAGTCAATGACGGGTAAGAGCATGCCTCCCCAGCATGACTCAACCTAAGACAGGCCCTACCCCATACCACACGAAAGCCGCTGAATTACTAGGTTCCGCCCGAACCAAATGTCGCCCCGGGGGGATCATGCGGAGCGACATGAGTGTATGCCTGTGTGCATCCAGGTTCCGTCCGGTTCCTTCCTGGCCCTGGAAAAAAGACGAGGGCCTCGGGGCCTCGGCAGACTCGGGGACGGCCGACCCGGGCCGACGCCGAGAGCCCTTGGTGGGCCTCCTATCAGGGCATAGGCCTCTACACTCAATTCAGGACGGGCTGCGATGCGTAGACTTATTTAAAATAAAAAAGGGGGAGATGTTGGGAGCCACCACATTGCCGAGCCGCCGCATATAGCGATCATGCGGCCTGTGGTAAAGAGTAAAGCCTGAGTTAGATTACCCCTCCCATCGAGCACGTTAGTTTCCTGCTTACCGCGTAAACCCGCTCAATAATATGTTAGCCAATCAGCTTGCCTTGCTTACTTTAATATGATTGGACACTGTATCCGTATATATACTGGTGCCACCCCTGGGGGGAAGTAGAAGCCCGGAAGGAGCCACGGAGAGCGGACCGGTAGAGGCTTCGGAGCGAAGCACGGAAGGAGCCGCGGGGAGCGGACCAGAGGAGGCTTCGGCTGGGAGTGATCCCAGGGCAGGCTGTACGGAGAGAAAATAAAAGAAAAGGTTGTCCACTGCCAGACTTTGTCGTGTGTCCTTCCTGCCGGCCGGGAGCGACATCGACAAGCATGGTCTTTACCAGCAGACTTTCTATCAGTCTTCTGGTCTTCTAACCTCTGATCAGAATCTCCCCTCAAACAGCCTAACCTGTTCTAGCTCTATACATTCAGGAAACATCTCTGAATCTTACCACAAGCCATTCCCCAGGTTCTTGAACCGCATGGTCAGGTACAGTCACAGCAATGGCCCTGCTCCCAGGAACACGTTCTGTCCTGGTTCTTTTCTCTCATTGCTGGGACAAAACACCCAATGCCCAAAACGAAGGAAGGAAAGGTTTATTTAGCTTACAGCTTTTGGAGGTACCAGTCCACCAAGGCAGGGTGGCATGGCACTGGGGCGACACTTCAAGGCAGCAGCCAGAGAAAAAGCAACCAGAACAAAAAACAGGACAACAAGCCTCTTCTCTTCCTTATATTGTATACAGGCCACCCCCTCCCCCTGCTTCAGGGCAAGTGTACTGCTCTCAAATCTCCTTGCCCTCCTTTGCATGGGATGAGGACATTTACAAAGTAAGAACCCTGGATCCTTGCTGAGTCTCTCAGTTAAACTGTTAAACTTCTCAAGTTGATACAAGGTATGAACCATAACAAAAACAATACTCCATGACAGCAACCCAGCAACAAGCAGGGGTAGTTATTCAATTTGCAAAGTGAATTTCAAGCCAAGACTGACTAAGAGAGATAAAGAAGGTCACAACATTCTTGTAAAGGAACAAATAACAATCATAAATATACATGCAACAAATACTAGCACACCGAACTATTTATAAAACAAATACTAAGGGGCATGAAAAATCAAATAAGTCCTAATACAATTGTATTAGGGGTCTCAGTACTCCACTGTCATAAAAAGACAGATTAACTAGACAAAAATTTAACAGTGAAATATTAGAACTGAAAGAAACTTTTGAACAAACAGACTTAGTAGATATCTACAGAGTGTTCCACTCCACAACATTAGAATATATGTTCTTCTCAGCTGCACATGGGACATTCTCCAAAACAGAACACATAATGGCTCACAGAACATGATTAAAGTAAATGCAAAGGAATTGAAATTATCCCATACATACTATCAGACTACAATGCAATGAAACTGGAAAGCCATGGCAAAGAAATTACAAGAACTTCATAAACACGTGGAAATTTAATAGCACCTTCCTGAACAACCAATGGGTCACAGATGAAATTAAAGAAGAAATTAGACAGTTTTTACAGTTGAATGATAATGATAATATAAAATACCAGAACTTATAGAACACAATGAAAACAGTCCTAAGAGGAGAATTTAGCAGTAAATACCCATATCAGAAAAAACAGAACAAGTATACATAAACAACTTAATGGTGAACCTCAAACTTCTAGAAAAAGAAGAGCAGGCTAAACCAAAAAGCTCTTACAAAGGAGGAAATTATAGAGATCAGAGCAGAAATTAACACACTGGAGACTAAAAAGCAATACAAAGAATCTATGAAATGAAGAGTTGGTTCTTTGAGGGATTAAACAAGGGGCTGGGGATTTAGCTCAGTGGCATAAGCGCCTGCCTTGAAAGATTAAATAAAATTGACAAATCTTTAGACAAGATTATCAAGAAAGAAAGAAAAGATCCAAATCCAGGCCATAGGAATGAAAAGGGTGAAATCACAACAGACTTTGCAGAAAAGATCATCTATACCTGCTTTGAAATTTTGTACTTTAATAAGATAGAAAACACAAAACAAATGGACAGATTCCTAGATACGTGAATTTCTAAATCTGAATCAATAAGACATAAAAATTCTAAATAAACCAATATGAATCAATGAAATAAAAAATGTAATTAAAAACCTATCAACCATAGAAAAGCCCAGGCCTGGACAGATTCGTTGCTGATGGGGCTGAGGATTTAGCTCAGTGGCATAAGCGCCTGCCTTGCAAGTATGTGGTCCTGAGTTCGATCCCCGGTACCGATAAAAAAAGAAATTGAGAGAAGGCCTAACACTGCTACTTCTCAAACCTTCAATGAAATTGAAAGGGAAGCAATACTCCCAAATTCATTCCTGAAAGCAAGCACTACCCTGATACCAAAACCAGAGAAGGACTCAACTAAGAAACAGAATTACAGGCCAATTTCCCTAATGAACACTGATGCAAAATCCTCAGCAAGATACTGGCAAACAGACTGCAGCAAATCATCAAGAAGATTATACATCATGACCAAGTGGGATTCATCCCAGGGATGCAGGGATGGTTCAACATACATAAGTCAATAAATGTAATAGAGCATACTAACAGAGTCAAGGACAAAAATCATATGATCATCTCAACAGATGCAGAAACAGTTTTTGACAAAGTCTAGCCCCTATTCATGATAAAACCCTACAGAAAATTGGAATAGATGGTCTTTATTTCAACCTGATAAAAGCCATCTATGACAAACCAACAGCCAACATCATACTAAATGGACAAAAGCTTAAAGCTTTCTTTTTAAAATCAGGAACAAGACAAAGGTGTCCACTGTGCCCACTCTTACTCAACATAGTCCTGGAAACTTTAGCTGGAGCAATTAGACAAGAAAAAGAAATAAAAGGAATAAAGATAGGAAAGGAAGAAGGTAAACTATCATTATTTGCAGACGACATGATACTCTACACAGAAGACACCAACATTTCCACTAAAAACCTGGTGATTTAGCTGGATGTGGTGGCACACATCTGTAACACCAGCACTCAGGAGGTTGAAGAAGGAGCATTACTGCAAATTTGAAGCAAGCCTAGGCTACAAAGTGAGTTCAAGGCCAGCTTGAACTGCATAGTGAAACCCTGTGCCAAAAATAAAGCTGATAGGTTTAATAAGCAAATTCAGTAGTACAGCTGGACACTAAATCAACACTCAAAAATCAGTAACCTTCCTATACACAAAAACAAACTCACTGAGAGAGAAATTAGGGAAACATTTTTCAAAATAGCATCCAAAAAATGAAATATCTAGGAATCAATGTAATGAAAGATGTTAAAGATCTCTACGTTGAAAACTGTGCTCTGAAAAAGGAGATTGAAGCAAATATTACAAAATGGAAAGACATCCATTGCTTTTGGATAGGAAGAATCCATATAGTGAAAATGGCCATACTTCCAAAACTGTCATACAAATTTAATTCAATTCTGATCAAAATTCTAATAGTATATTACACAGAATTAGAGAAAATAATCCTAAAATTCATCTGGAACCAAAAGGAGTCTAGAATAGCAAAAGCAATTCTGACAACAAAGGCAAGACAAGGTGGCATCACAATCCCTGACTTGAAATTATATTATAAAGTTACTGTGATAAAAACAGCATGATACCAGAAAGGAAAACAGACTAGAAGATCAGTGAAAAAGATTAGAAGATGTAGAAACAGCTCCAGACATACTAAACCATCTTATCTCTGACAATGTGACAAACACATTCACTGGAAGGAAGGTAGTCCCTTTAATAAATGGTGCTGGAAAAACTGGCTCTGCACATGCTGAAGATTAAAAGTGGACCCATATCTTGCTTTTTTTTCCTTTACTTTTGGACCTGTATCTTTCATCATGAACTGAACTAAATTTGAAATGTATCAAAGATCTAAACATTAAAACAGTAACATTACATCTGCTGGAAGACAGAGTAGGTAAAATTCTTGAAGATATCAGTGTAGGAAAAGAGTTTATGAACAAAACCCCAATCGTCCAGAAACTATCACAAAGAATCAACAACTGGGATCTCACCCTACTTGAGAAACTTTTGTACAGCAAGAGAAACCATCAACAGGGTGAAGAGATAACCCAAAATTTGGGAAAAAATGTTTGCCAGATATTCCTCAAAGGATTACTATTGAGAACATATAAAGAACTCAAAACACCTTCAGCACTCAGGAGGCTGAGGCAGGAGGGTTGCCTTGAGTTTGAGGCCAGCCTGGGCTACAAAGTTAGTGCAAGGCCAGCCTGAACCATATAACGAAACTGCCTCAAATAAGACCAAAAAAAACCCCTCAAAATATTAGACTTCCCAAATTTAAAGACCAAAAATGGGCATCTCAAACGAATACACACTTCTCAGATTAAGAAATACAAATAGCAAATAAATATATGCAAAAATGTTCAACATCGCCAATTATTTGAGAGATGCCAGTTAACACAAAACTGAGACTCCATTTCACTCCAGAAGAAATGGCTGTTATCAAGAAATCAACCAATGGGGGCTGGGGATTTAGCTCAGCGGCCATAAGCACCTGCCTTGCAAGCAGGCAGTCGTGAGTTCAATCCCCGGTACTGATAAAAAAAAAAAAAAGAAAGAAAGAAAGAAGAAAAAAAAAAAGAAATCAACCAATAACAAATGCTGGAGGGACTGTGGGGAAAAAGGAACCCTTCTCCACTGCTGGCAAGAGTACATACTGGTGCCCACCACTCTGGAAATCAGTGTGGATGTTCCCCAGAATACTAGCAGTGAATGTCCCATTTGACTCAGCAATTCGTCTTCTGGGTATCTTCCCAGAAGAATTAAAAACATCATACCACAGCGATATGTGTACACCCTTGTTTCTGGCAGCACAATTTGTAATAAATCAATCTTGGAAACAACCTAAATATCCAGAAGTTGAAGAATGTATTTAAAAAAGTGATATTTTTATATAATGGAGTACTGCTCAGCCATAAAGAAGGACAAACTTGAGATTTTATAGGTAAGCAGATACAGCTAGAGATTATGGTCATAGGTGAAGTAAATCAGACTCGCATGTGTTAACATTGTATTTTCTCCCTAGTATGAGAAACTGAAATAGTTAAGATAGTTATACTGCTAATTTCTCTTAGTTCATTGAAAAGAAAGGTTTGTGCTAATATTATTTGGACAATTAAATGCAGATATCTTGTACTCTGAGGAACTAATTTAAAAATAACAATATGCAATGTATTATCCTCTAATTACCTTATTTTGAAACGTTGGGTTTTTTCTTTAAAATAAAAATCATAATTAAAAGAACTTCAGTAATAAAAAGAACTAATATAATTTTTTAAATTGGCAAAAGACTTGTAAAAACACTAAACCAAAGAATACGTATAAATGGCCAGTAGGTACATATAAAGATGTCCAGTATCATATACAAATTAAAATCACAGAATATACTTGAAATACCTCAAAGTTACAAAAATAGACTGTATCAAGTCTTTACAAAGGTATGGAGGCATCAGAATGCTCATACAATGCTGCTGGAGAAGCACAGTGGTGAAAGGGTTTCGCCCTGGCTGGGAAGCTGCAGTGGTGGGAGCCTGGGAGGCGGAACCAAGGGGCTCTATCTTGAGGTCATCTTCCCCGCCCCTAAGCAATTTACCTGTGACCCGAAATGAATTCCACTGGGCTACCTGTGCATCAGTAATGCCCCTTAGGCTCCACCCCATACCTAAGCTACACGTATGCCCCCACACCGCGTATCAGCAGAGAGAATGCCAGACCCCGGAGTCATGGAGTCTCTCTCCACATTCTTAAAATAAAGGCCACTTTTACTTCACACTTATCTTTTTAGCCGGGCCAAAAATTCTATCAATTGGGATGACCAGTTCAGAAAAGAGCTTGACAGTTTCTTAAAAAGTTAAAACACAGCCTATGATAACGTCCCATCGCGGCATTCCCTGGAGTGACAGGGAATGAAAACTTACGCCTACTATCTGAGGTAGCATTAAAGTGGAAAAGCCAAATGTTTACCAATCAGCAAACAGATAAACTTTCACATGTTGTTATACAAATACAAAACCTTACAACCACTTTGGAAAGCAGTCTGAAAGTTTCTTTTCTTTTCCCAAATTCATTTTATTTCAACGAGAAAAAGGGAAAAAAGAAAGAAAAACTAAAATGAAACTTCAAAACGTCAATCAGGTGGCAATGATGGTATTTACATTGCACGTTGGCAGTTTCTTACAAGATTAAGCACATGTGATTCAGTAATCAAACTCTCATGTGTTTAGGAAAGAAAAATAAAAACTTATGTTTCATAGAAAAATCTGCACTTAAATATTTATTTATAATAATTTATAATTGTCCCAAACTGAAGACCACAGGAATGCACTTTTGTCAGTGAACAGATAATGAACTGTGACTCATCCGCATTAAGACATTTCTCAGCAATAAAAATCACAAACTATTAACACACACAACTCAATGAAGCTCAGTTGCATAATGCTAAATGAAATGCCAGATAAGAAAATTCACATATTACATAATTCAATTTATACAATATTGTGGAAATTAGGCTGAATTAGGCATAGAAAACATGATATAAATCATGTTTAGCAGTTTATCCCTGCCATCCAACACATCAACATGCTCTGCTGCTCAACTTACTAGGTCCCTTACTAATTAACCTATCACCCTAGGCCTAGAGATTAGCACAGTAATTGTTACTTGGCTGAAACTCATGGAAGTCTTATTGTTTTACAGTACTGCCCTGTCCTAGGCCGTGTCTTAAGAGAGTACTTCTGGCTCTCTGCAAAGGGTGAGTAATTCACACAGTCAGATATACTTGCCTATAGCCTCGTTTCTTTCTAGTAGAGTCCGGACCAGTGGTGGAGCCATAGCTGGCTGTAATCACTGAGCTCTAAAAGGTTCGTCATCACTGATCCAGACTATGTTGTGTATACATATATCCCTGGACATAACTGCCCAAACGATGCCAGGTCATGGATGAGCTTTTTCCAGCTTTCTACCACAGGAAGACCTGGCAGCTAAGACAAACACTTCTGGACCTGAAATGTGCCCAAGGCGAGGTTGCTTGTCAGAGTATGAGCAGAACGAGTAGCCACACATTGCTTGCAGGGTCCCTTTAAGCTTGATAGGGACAGCCAGAAGCCAGAGGAGAAGGGGAGTGTGAAAAGACTGGGGAAATGAAGATTACATAAACGGGTAAACTAGCAGAATATGGCAATGCACCCCTGTAATCCTAGCACTCTGGAAGGATGAGGCAGAGGGTTGCAAGTGTGAGCCCAGCCTCCGAAATTTAGCAACTCAGCAAATCCCTGTTTAAAAAAATTTTTTAAAAAGCTGCAGGGGATGTACTTCTATGAAGGCCCTGGGCTCAATCCCCAGTATCACGAAAATAAATGAAGAAGGTGACTTTATTTGTGGCTATAGGGGGTACAACCTTTTTTTGTTTTATTTTTTTATGGTACCAGAAATCGAACTCAGGACTTCACGCTTGCCAGGCAGGCGTAGTGCCAAGTTGAGCTATATCCCTGGCCATAAAGGTGATAAAATTAGTTATGGAATGTGGGGAGAAAATATCTTGAAGCCTCACAGAACGCATGTTCAGTAGTGCAATTTCACTGAAATCTCCTTTGACTCTATTGTGTTCAAGTTGATCCTTTTAGGATTTCCTTAGGTAGTAATCGTCCAATAAAACTAATAGAATATTCTCACTTTACCCAGTTCTCACCACACCTGGCGCTGGCGCACCTCCATGGGTAGAGAGGCACCGCTCTGGGACATGTTGAGTCTCTGAGTCCCCAAGCAAAGCTTCAGGGGAGTCTTGGGTTGCACTAGTTCAAGATTCCACCTGGAGTTCTCATCCAGAGTCTCCGCGGAGACCTGGGATACTAAGGAGGGGATGACGCGCCCACTCTTCCCCCCCTCGGACACCCAACTGATAATCGGAGTCCCACAGAGCCGCGGCTCTGTGGTTTAGAAAGCCCAAGTATTGCTCACCCAGTTAAGCGTCCTGCGTCGCCTTAGTAACCATCACTTCCGGCTTCGACCGGAAGCCCTGGAAGAAGCGCTCCAGAAGGTGTGTCTGCCCCCACGTGGGCGGAAGCTCGGCTCCGCCCCCTGGTGTTCTCTGGGCTCTGACACTCCCAGGGGATCGCGGTGTCCCAGAGGACCGGCGACCGAGTCTGCCCCTTGTGGCCTTGGGTCTGGGGCCATGGATTCTTTCATCCGCTTTACCAACCAGACCCAGGGCCGGGACCGACTCTTCAGGTGAGTCCGGTGCCGGCGCTTCCACCCCTTCCTTTCTCGCCGGGACAGATGGCGGTACAGTCCTCCCGAGCCTGGACTAGCGGCAGGTCGGAGCCACCAGGGGGCGGCGCGCGGAGGGCGCTGCCAGCTCCACGAGAGACCTGGTCCTGGAGCCCTGGAGTCCCTGTGCGGCGGGCCGGGAGCCCGCCCATGTCCCAGCTTCTCCTGGAAAACCGAGTTCTCGCCACTCAACCTTCTCCCAGAGGATTTCTTCTAAAGAAGAACGTGGGGTTGGCGTTTGTGGCTCCTGAAGCGAACCGCTAGTGGTGGCCTCACAACTTGAAATGCTTAGGAAGAAACACAAGTTTTGTTTATCTTGTGTATCTTCCCTTACCCAATGAGTCCTGGAGATAGTGCAGGTGAAAGTTGTAAACTAAAAGTACAGTAAAAAGAACTACTCTGAACACGTACTGTGTCATTAGTACTTTGCTGGCTCGAAGTGTTTCAGCCTTTTGGGTTTTTGCTCAGTGATTTTTTTTTTTTTTAAAGGTGTTACTGTTGTAATTTAACAGCTCTTTCTTCTCAGAGTGTTGAGGTGCTAACACAGACACACAGGAAGAATAGCAGCAGTCAGGTGACTCTGGGAAGCCAGCCCTGTATCAGTTTTGTCCTGTTGTGTCTGCGTTGATTTATTTAGCCCTTATCACTTCCAAGGATATAGACAGTGTTAAAAATCCCCACTTCACTGATGGGGAGTCTGAAACAGAAGGAGGCTAATGGAAGGAAGTGTCCAAGAGCTGAGAGATAAGAGTCCACACGTTTCATTCTAGGGGCAACTTCCTAACTGTAAGCCATACTGCCTTTCTCAAGATCCTTAGATTTTCAGAATGATTACAAGCTTCATTAAAAATCTAGGTTTGATGGCAGAAATCTGTAATCTTAGCCCTCTAAAAGGCTGAGGCAGGGAGGTGACAACTTTTGAGTCTAGCCTGGGAAATTTAGGACTTACCTGTCTCAAAACTAAAATTAAAATTTTTTTTAAAAGATTGAGGATGTTGCACAGTGGAAAGGTGCTTGGTTCAATCTGTAGCACGGGAGAAACAAAAACAACTAAAACCCTCTAATTTCAGTGTATGTATATTGTAGCTTGCAAGGTTTATCGAGGGGATTGGTTAATGATTGCTTAGGATATACTTACTCAGTAAGATCCAAGATCTCTATCATCATTTCCCGGCCCTCTTAATGATCTCTGTAACTTCCATGAACAAACTGGCATTCCAAACCAAAAACAAAACACCTTATTTGAGGCCCTACTCCTGTCGTTACATCAAATTTGAGAAAGGCAGGTGTATTGACATCTGCTGCTCTAGCCTTCTTTAGCCAGAAAGTATACTTTAAAATGAGGCTGAGAGAGCAGTGGCATCCACCTGTAATCCTGGTACCCTGGGTGACTCAGTGACTTTGTAAGACCCTGAATCAGAGTTTAAAACAGTTTTCCAACTGGGGATGTAGCTCAGTTTGAAGGCCTGAGATTCAACCTGCATTACCCTAGAAAGGGAGGGAGCCAGATAAATTGTGTGCCCCACCCCTTCCCTCAGCCCCCTCTCCGCTGGGTATCTAACCTAAGGCCTGGGCATGTTAGGTAACCTCTGAGGAAGATCCCTGGCCCTGTCTGCTCTTTTTGTTTCATTCCCCAGAACAAATTCACCCGTTTTGGAAAATGTGCCACATTTGGGGGAGGGGGGGCGTTAATATTCATATGATACAGGATAGTAGGAGCTGAACCTGTTATTAGTAGACTGCCAGATCTATTTGGATGTTTGTGTGATGTCAGATTTCTCACAATGATCAGTAAGTCATTGCTATTTGTAGGTATGATAATAATCCCTACATTGAATAATACTTAACAAGATGCTGTGTTATATATAAATATAATAATATTTAACAAGATGCTGTGTTTTATATCAAGTGATGAATTTCAAAAGACAAAATATATCTATACTAACTTGTATACTAGTGTGTGTCTGGTTCCCTAGTTTTACAAAATTAATATTAAGACTGTAGACTTCATCTGGTTCTGGTTTGAGGTCGTATCTTGTCACATAAATAATAGGCTGTGTGATAGAAAAGTTTGTTTTAGAAATCCAAAACAGGAGCTGGGGGTTTAGTTCAGTGGCATAAGCGCCTGCCTGGCAAGCGCGAGGTCGTGAGTTTGATCCCTGGTACCGATAAAAAAAAAAATCCAAAACATCCTGTACTGAGAAGGTCAGATCCTCACAGAGTTGACACAGATTTCTGTGCACTTTCCACTTCGGCAGCGTCCATTTTCCTGAACTTTTGGCAGGCTGTATACCACTTCATCGCAGAATTCCCTTTCATAACCTTTGTGTTGTGTTCCCATTGCATGTTCTGCCCTTTGGCCCTCCTGCGAAATGAATATTGCAGAATCTTGCTCTTCTAAGAGCTGCCACATGAGAAATTGTCTTGGGCTCTGCATTCAGCAAGATACGTTTCCCTTTGCCTTGCTTCATGAAACAAGTTTTATTTGTTTTGTAAGTCATTTTCCTCATTTTTTTTTCCATTACAGAGCCACTCAGTACACATGCATGTTGCTTAGATATTTGTTAGAGCCCAAAGCTGGCAAAGACGTGCTAATGAAGCTCAAGAAACTGGAGTCCAGTGTGAGCACTGGCCGTAAATGTAAGTACCCTGTCTCTCGAGGGACAGTGGCTCCTGGTTTAGAAGCCTCAGAACTTGTAATTCACAACATGCTTTCAAGGTTGTAATTCATCTTGAACAAGTGTATTAAAGTTAACGAGTGAAGCTGCCTGGTGGAATGCAGGCCCCTGAGGTTGACTGTTTTGCTGCAGACTGTTTGTTCACAAACCCCTGTGTGTTCACAGTGGGTGCCACATCGGATCCTCTGTTTTCTCCTGACCTATGGGTTGTGTCACTGTATGGCTTCACCTCTGTTGTGAGGATCACACAGTGTCTTCGCCATCCCTGACGTGAGCTTCTGGGTCTTGGGAGCTTGCTGTTCTCAGGAAGCATAGAATACCTCTGCCCTAGACCATCTTCCCCTTTTCCTTCTCTTGAGGACTGCTGGATGGAGACCTTTCCTAACACAGGTGGTTTTGTGTTAAAGGCAAAAGGCATAGGCAGTGTTTTGCATGCATTTGCTTCACTTTCATAACAGATCCTCCTGGGGAATCCCAAGCATCTTAGAGCAGTCACAAGCCTGACTCATTGATGAGAGTCAGGTGTGGCTAGAACAGGCCAGCAGAGACGTTAAAACAGCATGGAGGGCATCACATACTGATCAGTTGCTGATCATCTGCTTCATAAAGGAATAGGCTTCATCGTTATAGGAGAAACAAGACCATGTGTTATAAATAATGGTACAAGATTTATTGCCTAATGTGGTGGCTGGGGTAGAAGAAAAGAAAAATACTTTGATTTGGCCATGGTGGTATATGCCTATAATCCCAGCACTCTGGCAGGCTGAGGCAGAAGCACTGCAGTTTAGCAACTTAGTGAGACCTTGTCTCAAAAAAATAAAAACCTCGAGGTGTAGCTCAGTGCAGAGCCCCTGGGTTCCCTCTGGAGTCCTGAAAGAAAGAGAGAAAAAATACATGGATGGATGGATGGATGGATGGATGATGGCTAGATCTGGAGAAGGTGGAGCCTGAGGTGTGGCTAGAGAGATGGAAAGAGCATTCTTTGGAGGTGCCAGGCTTTGAGACAAGGTCAGTGCAGACTGGCCTTAAACTACCCCTGTAGCCCAGACAGGCCTGGAACTCGTGATCCTCTTGCCTTGGCCTCCAGAGTGCTGGGCTGTGCCACCATGTCTGGAGGAAAGACCACTCATGAAGGGCAGGCGCAGAACTGTTAGGAGCAAACCCTGTGATGGAAGGATTGGTGTAAAACCTAAGAAACTAGTTTGGCAGAAAAAGAACACAGGTTATAAGTAGCTGTATAGGGAGGAGGGGGTAAACTTTTCTGAATGGTTGGAAGCCAAGATGAAAATTGCTGTCTTATATCTTTTGTTTTTCCTCCTAAAAGTACAACTTATATTTTTAAAAGTTTTTTTTCCAAATCCATTTTACCCATAGATAAAAAGAAAGGAAAAAAAAAAAAACAAGAAGGAAGTAAAAAAAACTACAACAAAATTTGAAGTACGTCAATTAGGGTACCTTATATTCTGTAGAATGGTGGAACTCAAAGGTCCTGTGGACTTTTAACTTCCAGAAGGAGCTTACCCAGATCCTCTAACCAGTTAGTGTAAGAGCCAAACCCAGAGCCTGGAGTCCATTTACTGTACTGGAATAGCCATTATATGAATTATTTTGTGTTGTTTTGGTAAAATAATATCAAGTACTCTTTTGAGCATTCTGAGAGTAGCCACTTCCAAGCCCTTACTTAATCTACAGTGTAGCCCTCTAAGGAAATGTCCTTCGGTACCTTCCTTGATGTTTAGGACTAGAGCTCATTCTCCAGGCACTCAGTAAGTGTGCATTCCTAACTGAATTACCCACTTCCGTTCAGATGTGCTGGTGCAGTGGTGATTAACTCCACCAGGAGGGTGTACAACAATATTACTTGTCCTGTCCACTAAAGCATGTCATCTCCATTCTGTCTTCTTGACAGGGTGTAGCCTGGTGGGCTTTGGACCAGAGAAATAGCAAAGTGATAATTTTCTTTCTTTTTTTTTTTTTTTTTTTTGCGGAACCTGGGATTGAACTCACAACCTTGTGCTTACCAGGCAGGCAGTTAGGCCACTGAGCCAAATCCCCGGCCTCAAAGTGATAATTTTCTTAAGGCAATCATTTGTCTAGAAAATAAAGTGTAAGGCAACAGATGCCAAGAGCATGTTGCCCCTGGAGTTCCCATTGTGTTAGTTTTCCTTCTGAAAAGTGTAACTGGTGACACTCAAATGTCACAGCCCATGCTGTGGTGCACCTTGCCCAGGGTGCATGTCAGTCAGTGGCAAGGTGCTCACTGGGATGGAGAAGGCACCTTTCAAAGTCAGTGTCTCGTAAGCCTGGCGGGACCGTGTTGGGTGTCCTTACCATCCTGTAAAGGCCCTCTCCTTCCCCGAGTTGTGTCTGGGCCTCAGGTGTCCGCCAGTTGTTAAGATGCCAGTGCTGGCCCTCACCCTGCCTCCCCTCTGGCCCGCTTGTTACCGAGACAGCGCTGACAGCATGCGATCTTTCCACAGGGTTCCGGCTAGGCAATGTGGTCCATGCTGTCCAGGCGACCGAGCAGAGCACCCACGCCACTGACCTAGTGCCGTGCTTATGTCTGACATTAGCCAACCTGAACCGTGTGGTTTATTTCATCTGTGACACCGTCCTGTGGGTGAAGAACGTTGGTCTCGCCTCTGGTATCAGCAAAGAGAAGTGGCAGATGCGGGCTGCCCGCCACTACTGCTTCTTCCTCCTGCTGAGCCTGGTCAGGGACCTGTATGAAATCTCCCTGCAGATGACCCAGGTGGCGCACGAAAGGGCAAAGGAAGGGCAATCGACATGCAGGGATCCTCCGAGGCGCAGCGTGGCTGACGAGGAGACCGAGTGGCTCCAGACCTTTCTTCTTCTCTTATTCCGATCTCTGAAGCGACATCCTCCTTTGCTCCTGGATACGGTGAAGAACTTCTGTGACATCCTGATCCCTTTGGACCAGCTGGGGATCTACAAGTCCAACGCTGGCATCATTGGGCTTGGGGGTCTCGTGTCCTCGGTCGCAGGCATGATCACTGTGGCGTATCCTCACATGAAGCTGAAGATCCGCTAGGGCGGCTGCAGGCCGAGCTCCCGGGTGACGTCTCAGTGGAACGGGCATTGGCATTCGTCACAGACCGTGTCACCTGTGATAAAGTGTTTGTCCACATGAATGTTTAGTGACCTATAATGTGAGCAGGTGAGGGCAAGAACAGAGCACAGACACCACGTGTTTATGAAGTGCTACCTCTGAATATGTTCCCTTCATCCAACATTTCCTTTGCATCTCTTGCATACTAGAGCCTAGTGTCCAAGGAGAGCATAAAAACTGAAAAATAATTGGAAAAAACCTAAGAAGTGAACACTTCACGTGTAGTGTGGGTGGGGTTATGTGGATCATTGTTTCTTGAGCACCGACTGCTGGGATCTGACGTCCCGCCCCTTGATTATTACCCCGTCCTCATAGATGTTGGAGGAGGGCATTGGTGAGCTGGGCTGGAGCCCCCTTTTCCCGCTGGCCCAGACCGTCTCTGCTGGTTGTCATCAGTGTGTCCAGAAGAGACTCTGAACCTAGTCGGGCACCTTCGTGGTGTAGCGGTGTCTGTGGACCGAAGTCTCAGTGATACAGTAAGTAGGAATCAGGAGTAGGTGAAAGGGAGCTGAGGGGGACGTAGGCGGAAGGTCACAGCAGGGCCTGTTGTGTGGCCTGTGGCAGATAAGGAAATTGACCTGCAAAACAAACCTGAGGCCCCTGGCCTGCGAAGAGGCCGAGGCTTCAGGACCCTGACCTTTTACCTCTTGGCTCCCCAAGTTTGGAACCCTTATTAAGGGTTTATATTCCATTGCACAAAAATTTAAATCATCTAAATTTATCCAGATTGTTTATATTTTAAACTTTGTAACAGTGTGGGTGATTCTACATTAATTTTCAAGAAAATTCATGCAGTTAAAAGTTTCATGAGTGTTCTGTGAACAGAGAAGGTGAATTTTCCGTGATGAATCAGACTTCTGATTCCTAGAGTAACTGGGGAGAGGGGAAGGGCAGTCGGGCCAGTGAGGGACACGGACACTGGAATGGGGACATTTGCCTGTACTCCTTCCCGTCTGGGGGTCGGGTGGTTCTTTGTGATTTCAAGTCCTTTTGCTTGAAGGATGTGAGGTGGACGTGGTGGGCCAGCAGCAGAGGCTGATGTCCGCGCCACCAAGAAAGCCACAGTCACATTTGTCCTACGGGAGACGAGGAAAGGAGTATGCACTGATTCAGTTTCCATAAATGTGATTGAGATTCTTGAAAAGTAGACTCAAGTCCTTGGTACTCTGTTTTTGAAGTAATCACGAACTGTGAATTTGTAAAAGAAATGCTGTGGGAGGAGTTTTTGAAAACTGAAGGCTGCTAGAGCAGGGCTCGTAAGGTTTGAATAACTCTTTTGCCCTTGTTCAGACCCTCTATGTGAGATTAATTATGTTTAATAAATTTTCCACAAAGCTGACATGTGCATGTGTGAGTGTGTTCTGGGTTTGGAGCAGAGTTACAGCTGTCCTCCCCCCGGAGCCCCTATGTAGCCTGTTCCTTGGTAGAGGCAGCTCTGGCTGCAACATGCAAGAGACTTAGAAGTGGGTATCTGGGTTGAGGGTTCCCCTGAAGCTCTGTCCAGTCTCCCTGAAGAGCTGCCCACAGTCTTCTCCTTGGAGAAGTCGCCTTGGGTTGAGTGTGTGTTGGTGGTAACTGTTGTGATACTTTGTCCTCTGCAAGTAGGGTGCGCCAGGGTTTAGGAAGTGCCACATCTTGAGTGCACACCTTAATGGTGCCCTGACACCTGTCCCTGTGGATCGTTCTCCTCCCCAGCTAACCCTCTCCACCCCAAGCTCACATTCATGAGGAGTCCCCAAGTGGGACAAGTCCCTGCTAGAGGTACGGGCCACATGCTCACACCCGACACTGTTGCCTGAGAGCGTATTCCACAGCTGACGCTTGAGTGCCACGCTCAGCTTGGGGATCCAGCTGAGAGCTCATGACAGAGGCCCCTGCTCTCACATAGTGGAGGCTGGGGAAGCAGGGTTGGTGGAGAAGGAAGGGAGAACCCCGTGCCCTGCAGCAGCTGCTGGCAAAGGGGTGCCTTCCACTTCCCTCAGGATCTCCTTGGGCCCTTTACCTCCTCACCTCTCACCCGTATTCCAGAATGGCCAAAGGACCTGCTTTGTCAGCAGAGCGCTCAGTCACAGAGCCCTCTGCTCCTCCTGGCCCACGGCTGCTGCTCCCAAGGCTGCAAACTGCCCTTTGCCCAGTCCAGACAAAACTACCCAGAGAATTCTCCTGGATCTTGAAGTGAGGGCAGAGGCCACCACATTAGTCCTGCTTGTCCCCTCTGTTCCTAATGCTGCTGAGAAGCCCAAATTGGATCACTTGATACTGATAAGTCACATTTATTCCTTTTGGAAGCTCCCTGCTTGACTCTCCCGCATGCCTTGTCTTACTGTATCACAGATGGAGACTTTATAACCAAGGTCTCGTCATTGCCCTCTCCACGCCAGGCCCCTGTCTCCTGTTGCCCGTGCCTTAAGCTCAGACCGGGACATTGCGTGCACTTCTGCCAGCGGGAGAGAGACAAACGTGCTTCTGTTCCCCGTGCTAACAGAGACCCGAGCAATGTGCACAACAGCTCCTCTCAGTCCTCTGTCATCTTCGAAGCCAGAAACTAGGACTTGGGCCCGGCTTGAATTCTTGCTGAGGATGAGATGACCGGTGTCGTTCAGCTGCTGACTGTCCATTATAGAATCTTGTTGGTCCTCCCTCTCACAAACCCAGTAGGCTGTCCCGCTGTCCTTCAGTGGCATTTTAGGCCAGGCAAAGCTCAGTGCATTTTCCTCAGCTCAGAATGTACAGAGGTTGACATCGCTCCAAGGACTTGACACTCCCCTGCCCCAGCTCCATCTTTCTATCTTAAAGTCAGTTTATCTCCATAGTCAGACTAGTACACACTGATGGATCCTTCCTGTCCCCGTGTGGGTTTCTGTCATCCCCTTGCTAGTAAATAGGAAGGGATGGGAGACAGAGGTGGAAAATCATCTACCATGTTACAGAATTAGGACTTCAGAGCTCACGATTTTATATATATATCCCCATGTCCTCTTCATGGAAAGCAATTTTTACCAGTTGAGGGACAGAAATATTACAAATTGATACTGAGCCCAGACCACCAACAACTCTGCAGTCCACCTCATCATTGGCTCAGTGTCCTTGTGGCAGTTAAGGCAAACCCAGGGGACTGTGGATCAGATATCCATGGCAACTGACTGGCCCAGCTTGCTCTTCCTCTCTGCCCTCCTCTAGCTAGAGGCCCGAGGAGCATTGCCCAAGACTCCCTGGAGTGGCTGGAAGAGTTCTTCTCAGGGACGCTCTGCTGCCCGGCTCCACGACCAACACAGTCCACGGCCGTGAGTGGGGCCCCAGGCACAGCTGGACCTGGCTTGTTTGTGGGTGCTAAAGGGAGGAAAGAGCTCTTGGGAATTTTTCTGGGGGTTGGAGAGACCTGCAGGGAAACCACCAAGGGGGAGCTTCAAGGTGAAGGACCAGGAGGACAGAGCAGTGTTGGGGGCTGCTGGCTTTCCCAGAATGCAGCTGAGCGTTTTGAGTGTCTGTGTATTCACCTGACTGAACATAGAGGGCTGAGGTACTTGCGTAGAAATAGAGGAATTAACTCAGAGCTTTTTCAAAAAAACCCCTGTGACCTTTGCTTCCAGTCTCTTTTGGACACTCATCTAACAGTCCTGAGGTTTCATCTAAAACTTTCTATTTCTTACCACTGTTTGCAGTCTTTTTGTCTTATCCTGGGCCCTTATAAGACACATCTGTCTTGCTGGGCTTGGTGGCACACACCTGTAATCTTAGCATTTGCAAGGCTGAGGCAAGAGATCACCATGAGTTCAAGGCCAGCCTGGACTACAGAATGAGCCCCTGTCTCAAACTGCACCCCTCCCCCCAAAAAAGAAACATCTGACTTGACCAGAGGCTCTAGAGTAACTCATGGCTGTAGGACCCTAACCGCTGGCTTTCTGTGTGACATCCATTCTCCAACCTAACATCTCTCGTAGGGCTACTAAGCTCGCTGGCAGCCTGAGACCAGTAGGTGGACAGGAGCGTTGGGCCCTGACCCTGTGGACTGCAGCCTGCGGGCTCCTCACAGCCTGGCACTCTGCTCTGCAGCAGGGAAAGCCGGGATGGCAGTGAACAAGGGCCCGATGCTGGATGGAGACCTTCCTGTGAGTACCGGGGCCTGGGACTCGGGTGGATTGTGGCGGGAGGGGACTCCAGGATTTTGAGCAAGATGTGTTCAAATTACAGCCCTAGTTCCTAGACTGAGTCAGTTATTTCTGGCTTCACCACTTTTTGCAGACACGGCTGTGGGAGGGTCTGGAGAAAACATAAGAAGCCAATTAAAAATGAACCACTTTGGAGAAAAAAGGACAGAAATACTGGCTAAGGGACAGGAGGGAACCAGAAAGAAGAGAAATGCTATTTCCTGAACTCTAATTCAAGAGTCCATGCTCTGTCTGCCACCCAGCTAGACACCTGGCTCTGCCCGGTTTAGGGCAGAGCCGGGCTCTGGAACATCCTATGACCCTGGGATCATTGAGGCTGTGCATGGCACCTCCCGGGCTTAGCCTTTGCCACTGTGCCTCGCAAAGAGGTAGACATTTAGTATATCCAGTGTTTGTCTTTGACCTGGTTTTCACTGTTCATTGGACTTATTTTGATACTTTTAGATGTTCCTGATGCTTGTCAAGACCTCTCTGATTTGGGTAGAGTTCAGATAGTGAAACCTGCAAGTTATAAACCCATGTGGTTCCCATTTCATTCCAGAAAAGGCTTTAACCTTTGCACTAGATCAGCAGGCTAAATTTTGTATTGAATCATAGAACACAATTGCGCATGGAATGATCATGTGCACAGTTAAGCCTTTTTAATGGATGATGGGTTCTTCCTTTCCCTCATTTCTTTCCCCTTTTGAGTTTATCCAGAACAATCCTGAAAGCTCTGCCCAGGGTTTTTAGCCAGGTGTGGTTACACAGGAGGATCACAAGTTCGAACCCAGCATCAGCAACTTAATGATTTCACAAGACCCTGGTTCAAAATTTTAAAAATACAGTGGGGTTGGAGGTGGGAGATGGGGAATGGACAGGGATGTAGTTCATCGTGAGCTTGAGTTCAATCTCCAGTGCCACAAAAAAGATCGAGGTTTTTTCCCTTTCTGTAGCTCCAATTTCCACCTCACCTGTAGGAGGAGAAGCTAAGATCCCATAGCCTGCTCTGCCTGGTGTCCTTGGGGGTCTCCTCAGTGGCTGTCTTACACAGATCCCTGCACACAGAACAGGATAGGATCTCACCTTTGGAACAAAAACCCTTCCACGGTGGTACATCCAAAGCTACCCAGAGCCTGAGTGTCTGGGTCAGAGCAGGGAGTTTTCTCAATTTACTTTTCAGGTAGAGAACTGTTCAGGTCCCAAGCACCCTTCCCCACGCCAGCCACATGACTCCGGACCCCCATCACCCCATGAATCACTCGCCTGGTATTATTTTGAAGTTATTTCCAGATACTACGTTTCAAACCTGACTTGGAGCTCTGTCCTGCCAATTACTAGCTGTGTGACCCTGGATGAGGCTCTTCACATCCCTGAATCTCCGTCTCCACATCGGTAGGGTGATGGTAGTAATGCTGACTCAGGCTTGCAGTTAGAATTGAATGAGGCATGCTACCAAGGCACCCATAATGGTACCTTCAGCACACCCGGGATCTGTTCTTTCAGAGATCAGTCTTTTCCTCACATCCAAAGTGATCTGAGGTTTAATTATGTGACAGCTGCCACAGTCAAATGCTCTAATGAGAGCACAGTACCCTAAAAAAGAGAAACAATGGTTCCACCACACCCGAGATGCTCAGACTGTAGCTAGAACATTGTCTTCAAACCTGAGTGCTGTATTTTAGAGAAAGACAATATCACACTGTAGCGTATCCAGTGGAGGAGGTCACCAGACCATGGTGTGTACTATTCATAAACTAAGCTAGGACCTAGAGCTATTTTCTCTGCAGAAGAGTCCTCCCAAGGGAGAGATGTTTAACTTCAAATATGAGCAGGGCCAACCCCTGAGTGATGAAATAAATTTGCCCACAGTTGTTCTGGGGGGCACAGAGGGTGGAGCAGGGGGTGGAGGCCGGCTTCAGTTCTGCAGAGCTGTCCAGTAGGGGCACAGGCCACTCTGGGAGAGGCCAGCTCCAACTTGGGAGAAAGGATGCATCAAAACTCTCATCCAGCAGGGAAATTCTGGAAAGGGTTCTTGCTGCCGGGTCCCCACAAGGCCATGATGCTGTGATTCTGTGCATGGGAGCAGATCTAAGCTTCCACATCCTCCCAGGCAGCCCTGACTGTTATTTGTGTCTCCAACTAACTTTCCTGGGCCTGGCAAGGTCCCGGGGATACAAAAAGTCTCCTGGGAGAGAGAGGCACTGTGACAGATTAGAGATGGCCCAGGGAAGGACCTGGCAGCTTTTGATGTGAGGGAGGAGAAGCAGGAAGCTTCTCAGAGGGCATGATGGGGAGGGGAAGGCAGTGTGTGTGCTTAGCTGTGGACCAGCATCCTCAGGCACAAGGTTTAGAAAGGACAGGAGAATGTTTAGATGAAGACACCATTCACACTCCACACAGGTGCGTTCAGGGTGCTTGCTGTCTCCCAGTAAGTCTGGGGTGAGACTGGGGTCTGGCCTGGTCCCCAGATAACACGGAGACCCCAACAGCAGAGGCTGGCTGTGCCGAGTGGGGCCTGGCAGACCACTCCTGTGACTCAAGCATTTGAAGACATCTTTAATGCAAGTTCTTCCCAGATCCTGGGACTCTGGCTGGCCTCTGAGCTAGGCAGGGCTCCCTGCCCGGGATGCTGGGCGTCGGGGCTGACTGCCTTGTGCTTCTTCCCGGCCAGGAGCAGGAGAACGTGCTGCAGCGCGTCATGCAGCTGCCTGTGGTGAGCGGCACCTGTGAGTGCTTCCAGAAGACCTACGCCAGCACCAAGGAAGCCCACCCCCTGGTGGCCTCTGTGTGCAACGCCTACGAGAAGGGCGTGCAGGGCGCCAGCAGCCTGGCCGCCTGGGGCATGGAGCCGGTGGTCCGCAGGCTGTCCACCCAGTGTGAGTCCTGCTGGCACCCTGTTGCCAAGCTCTGCCTGCTCTGTCTGTCTGTCTGTCCAGTTACCTGGTCACTTGTTTGCCTCCTGGCTGCCTGCATTCTACCACCAGCTAATCTTACCATGACTGTTAGATACAGATCTCTGAGCCTGCTCTTAGCATCAAAGCATTTGCACCCTCTGGGGGCAGAGGCAAGGGATAACTCTTTTCTCTTTCCTGTGGAAATCCTCCCCGCCTTGATTGGTACTGTCAATCTTATCTCAGCACTGAGCGGTTAAAAACAAAGGCCATGGGGCTGGGGATTTAGCTCAGCGGCATAAGTGCCTGCCTTGCAAGCAGGCAGTCGTAAGTTCGATCCCTGGTACCGAAAAAGACAAAAAAAAAAAAAAAAAAAAAAAAAAAAAAAAACAAAGGCCACTTCACATAGTGGTACACACCTGTAATATTCTGGGAGGCTGAAGCAGGAGAATGTGAGTTCCAGCCCACTTTGGTCAACTTAGTGACTTAGTGAGACCCTGTCTCAAAAAGAAAGAAAGAAAGGAAGAAGAAAGAAAGAAAGAAAGAAAGAAGGGGAAGGAAAGGGGCTGGGGATGTAGCTCAGTGTGAAGGCTCTGGGCCAGAACCATGGACAATCTGGAGCCCTCACAGTTTGTGGCTAGAAGTTTGTTACCCTAAAACTAAACAGGACTAGGCCTGGCCCCATTTTAGCCAGCCCCAGGGGTCCATTGCCACCTACCTCCCACCTGCACCCTGCTCACCCTCTTCTCTCTTTCCGGTGCTTACTCAGAGCCCTGCACAGTGGGAATGGAGGTGGAGGAGGAGGGGTCAATGTCCTTGGTGATTCACATGGTCTCGTTGCTCCCTGCTCCCTCCGCTAGGCTGTGACCTGCCTGCAGCCGCAGCTGGGTAGTTCAGGAATGACCCTGGCCTCAGGGAGTTATGAGTGGACCGGGGCTAAAGATGGCAAAGGGTTTTGGGCTCAGGTTTCCTGCCTGGGAGGCAGCAGGGCTGGTTACCTGAGGGCTTCAGGGTGCTTTCCTGGGCATAGAGGCCGCCGCTGGTCCTTGCAGTGGGGACAGGGCTCACCCAGTACGACCCTCCTCTCCAGTCACAGCTGCCAATGAGCTGGCCTGCCGAGGCCTGGACCACCTGGAGGAAAAGATCCCAGCGCTGCAGTACCCTCCCGAAAGGGTGAGCACCCCCTTCTCTGATGCCCCTGTGCTGTGTGGTCACTACCTCCCGGAAGAGGACAGGAGCTGCTGGTGTCACTGTCCCCACTGCATGCAAACACTGCCCCAGCTTGGGGAGGCTGTCAGCGCCTATGGCAGGCAGGGTTTCCAGGAGAGCAGGGGAACAGAGGGTGGGGTCCCACAGTTACCTGATACCCATCCCTGGGATCTGGGCTCTGGGGTCTGCACTGGGGGTAGACACCTCAGATCATGGGGCACATTCGTTGGAGCCCTGAGAGTGAACCCCATGTCCTCGAGATTCAAGGCCTATGGGCCAGGAGATCAAACAAGTCACTTGCGCTGGCCACATCTTGATTGGGTGTTGGCTAAGGTGCAAGACCAAATTAGGTGCTTTGGGGGAATAAACTTCAGTCTTGAGTCTCTGGCATTATCCATTTCATTGACTGTGCCCCCTGCCCATTCTGGGAGCCTTCCCTGAGCCCTCTCACTTAATCCTCTTTCAACCCCCTGTGAGAGGGCTCCTTGCCCCACTGCACAGGGGAGAAAGCTAGTGATTTCTGGCAGCCACACAGCCTCAAGTGGAGACCTCAGGGCACCAGGCCAGTGTGCGCTGGCTCAAATGAGCATTTTGACTTCAAAGCCAAAGATGCCTGGTTTTTTGGACAAAAGGCAACAATGTCTTTGTCACAGAGGAGCTCCCGGCTATGGAGGAGGAAGGCTGATTGTTTTGGTGCAGAACTGGTAGGAAGTGGCAGTGAATTTATACTGTCAAGCAGTATAAATGCAGATGGAGCCTTGTTCTGAGAGGATATAAGACACAGGATGGGAATCTGAGGAGGTGGCACCAGGGGAGCAGGACCAGTGTGCCACATGGTGACTTTGGGGCTGTCCTCACTACAGGGACAGCACCTTGACAGACAGTGTGGTGCAGAGAAGCCAGGAGGTCTGGGTGATTGGCATGGGGCTTGGGAGAGTCCTTTACCTCAGAAGCCTGGCTTACCCCAGGTGCCCGCATGCCAATGCCAGTCCTTAAGGCCTTTTCAGTGAGGCCTTGGGTCTCCCTGGTCTGCACGGAGACCCCTGCAGCTGACTCCTTACACCCACCACCCCCAGATTGCCTCAGAGCTGAAGGGCACCATCTCCAGTCGCCTTCGCAGTGCCCGCAACAGCATCAGCGTGCCCATCGCAAGCACTTCAGACAAGGTCCTGGGGGCTACACTGGCTGGCTGCGAGCTGGCCTGGGAAGTGGCCAAGGAGACTGCAGAATATGCCGCCAACACCCGAGCTGGCCGGCTGGCCTCTGGGGGCGCCGATCTTGCCCTGAGCGGCATTGAGAAGGTGGTGGAGCTCCTCCTCCCTCCGGCCAAGGAGGGGTCAGGTACCTGCACCACGGCCAACACACCCACCCTGTGTACCCAGCGGGGCCCCATGCACCTGGCCGTGCTGGCCAAGGGCTTTTCCAGCCTCCAGAGTAGGGACAGCTCAATGAGATTTCCAGAGGGATCCACGATCACTTGGTCCCTTCCCCATCTCGTCTGAGGGAAAGTGAGTGGCACCTATCACCTCTGAACTGCTTTCTCTTCTTCCCCCCCATCCCCATCCAGCCCCTGCTCCTAGACACCAGAGGATTCAGAAACCTCCCAAGGCCAAGCCGAGCCTCACGCGCAGAGTGGGGACCCTGGCCAACACCCTCTCCCAACATGCCATGCAGACCGCAGGCTGGGCCCTGAGGCAGGGCCACTCCCTGGCCATGTGGATCCCCGGAGTGGCACCCCTGGTGAGAGTCTGGACCCCGCCTGAGCCCCCGCACCCTGGTCCCTGCAACCCTGAAGCATTCTAACCTGGGCTGGGACTTTAGCTGTAAGCACAAGGGGCCTTAAGAGGAGTACAGGGCTAATCTGGGGTGCTGGGGTGGTCCTGCCCCACTGCCCACTTCCGTCTCCTTAATCTTCCCCTGACCGCTCCCTGACACCTCAACCCCCAAGTGAGTCCTTGACATGGGCTCTCCCAGCAGTGAGGATACCTGCTTGTTTGGAAAGAGGGTCTATGTAGCCCAGGCTGGTCTTGAACTCATGATCCTCCTGCCTCAGCCTCTTGAGGGCTGGGACTACAGGCATGTACCACCAGACCTGGCTAACCTCAGCTTTTTTTCTTTTTTCTTTTTCTCTTCTTCTTTCCTCTCTTCCTTTCTTCCTTTTTTCTTTCCTTCCTTCCCTTCGTCCCTCCCTCCTTATGACCCTTATGTCTCCCAAAGACATGTGAAGAATGTCCATGCCCACTTTATCCTTAGACAAGGCTGGGGACCGTGCAGCGGACGGCACCCTCTGAGCGGGGTGCTGGGTGGTGGTTGCACAAAGGAGTGCTGAGGGGACTTCCACGTGCAACTGCAGAGGGAGCCAGTCATGCTTCCTGCTGAATGAAAGAAGCCATTCATGAGCAAATACACGGGTGACCCATTTATAGGAAGCTCCAGAATAGCCTGGGGCTGGGGTGAGCTTGGGAACAGAATGCTCAGTTTGGTTATGGCAAAGCTGAGGGTTCCTTCCTACCCCAACCCCCCACAAAAAAACAAAAACAAATGAATGCATGGTCATAGAGGTCTGAACTGTGCTCACTCCTGGAGGAGCCAGGACTGAGTGGGGCCCAAAGCTCCTCTGGGGTGTTTTTGATCTGTTACACGGTGGCATGCTTGCAAAAATTCACAGAACTGTTTACTCTCCTGTATCCTAAACTGTCACTCAACAGTTTTTTAAGAAGTCTGGGGATGAGCAGCTCCAGCTGCTGGGGTCCTGGCCTTCAGCAGGGGCTGCTAAGTGGTGGCTGTTTTGTCCCGCCCTCAGAGCAGCCTGGCCCAGTGGGGTGCATCGGCCGCCATGCAGGTAGTGTCCCGACGGCAGAGTGAGGTACGAGTGCCCTGGCTGCACAACCTCACTGCTGCCCAGGATGAGGATCACGATGACCAGACGGACACAGAGGGTGAGGAGTCAGAGGAGGAGGAGGACTCAGCGGCTGAGGAGAACACGCTCAGTGAGGTGAGGGAGAGCCCGGGAGCTTGGGGCCCATGGCCCATGATGGGTGACAAGCAGAGGCAAATGAAGGTCACTACTCCCAGCCCAAAGCATTTCCAGGTCACTCTCAGCTGACCCTCAGCAGGGTAGAGATGGCAGAGATGATCTTCCCATTTTGCAGACCAAAAACCTGGCTTAGAAAGGGAATGTAACTTGCCCAAGGCCACACAGTGGCAGAGCTGGGGCTGCAGTTCTATCGGCTTGGCATCCATGTGCCCTACCCTGTAGCCCTACCCTACCCCTAGCTAGGGGGAAGAAGGCAGGAGGAAGATCGCTACAGGGTACTGACCTTGCTTTGGCCCTCAGGTGGCGGCCCTGCCTCGCCCACAAGGCCTTCTGGGCACTGTGGTGAACACCCTGCAGAAGACACTCCAGGGCAGCATTTCGGCTATGATGTGGGCACCCAAGGTTGTGATGGGCACGGCAGGGAGGCTGCTACACCTTACAAAGGCCCCAGCTGCCTCCCCGATCAAGGGGCGGGCTATGTCCCTGTCGGATGCTCTGAAGGGTGTCACTGACAATGTGGTGGACACGGTGGTGCATTATGTGCCGGTGAGTCCACCTGGGCACCTCCCTCTCCCTTGGGGGCCTAACGCAGATTGAGGGGCTGCAGTTCCCCATGTCCCCCTAGTCCCTGGAGACCCTCCTCCAACCTCAGTGCCCCAGAAAAACACTTGGACATACTAGGATCTCCCCAGCCCCAAGAGCACAGAGGCAGGGGGCACCCTGCTGGTGGGGAACTCTGGGGACTCCAGTGGCTCAGCCCTCACCTTTCACCTGCTTCTGAAGGACCTGCCTGGGCAGGTGTGGAGAGGAGGGTTCCAAGCAAGCAGCTGGCTGAGTCCCAGTTCTATCACTTGTCATCAACAGGAGAAGGCCAAGGGACACGGGTGCCACCCCTTGAAGGTCTCTAGGCCCCTTCCAGAGCATATTTCAGACTGCCCAGGCTCAAGAAGGGTGGGTCAGAGTATGGGGCACTCCAGAGCCGGCTAGGGGTGGGCCACTCAGTCACGCCCACCAAGAGCACCCCAGGGGCCGTGGCAGCCAGCTTGGCCCAAACCATGCCCAAGATCTCACTCAGCTGTAGCCCAGGGAAGCATCAGGAAAGTCACCAATGCCCCTGGGGCAAAGCCCTGCAGGCTATCAGTTACCAGACCTCAGAGTGCTCCCTGGCTGTCCATCCCGCTGTCCCACACCCTGGCCTGTCCTCTCACGTGGTCACTCTGGGTCCCTGGCGTGGCAACGACGCCCAAGTAGAGACCCTAACGCGCTTGCCGGGTCCGCAGCTCCCCAGGCTGTCGTTGATGGAGCCCGAGAGCGAGTTCCGGGACATCGATAACCCACCGGCCGAAGCCCAGCGCTGGGAGGCGGAGCGCAAGGGGTCCGGGCCGCAACCCGCCAGCCCCGAGCCCGCGCCGCACCCCGCGCAGCACCGCGGAAGCCTGCGCGGCACGCGCAGCCCAGACCAGGGAGACTCCGGGGAGACTCCCGCTGCGCCGCGCCCCGGCTTCCTGGCGACGCCCCGCGAGAAGCCGGCGCGCAGGGTCAGCGACAGCTTCTTCCGGCCCAGCGTCATGGAACCCATCCTGGGCCGAGCGCAGTACAACCAGCTGCGCAAGAAAAGCTGAGCCGCGCGCTACCCCAGGCCAGGGCCGGCTCCCTGAGCGAGAAGCCGTGCTTCCAAGCGGCTCCTCTAGAGGGTCCCCATGGAGCCCGAGCCGCCTGGCCACCATGCTGCCCAGGCACACGTCATTTCCAAAGTATCTCTTTGGGGACCTGCCCTGCTCAGCAGCTTGCACTGATGTTACACACCCACCCCCCACCCCCGGATAGGAGTTATTGCTTAGCTTGATCGCTTAGTTTTTTAACCAAACTGTTGGCCAAATGATAGTTTTAGCCTTGAGCGCAGAGATCTTGGCAACCTAGGCGCTCAACAGACCGCTTGGAAAGGCTCACCAGGTGCAAAAGCTCTTATGCATTTATGTAGTGTTAAGTGTCACTTTTGAAATACCGCTACCCTGTGCGGGCCGAACCCAGGGTTGGCACCACCTTCTGGTTGGCAGTCGCATATCCACTTGCAGGGTCACTTCTAAATGCGGGTGCCCCCAATGCTAGGAGGTGACAGTGATGATCTTCACCCAGTACTCTCTATTCTCTAGATCATAGATACAGACCCCATAGCTGCTATTCATTCCAAGTCCTCTTTTTGGAAATGTCAATACTTGGTAAATCTAGGAGATGTATAAACAGAATTTAAAAATTCAAACATTGCAGAGGTGTGTTTTCCTCTCTAAATTCTCCAGATGGCCTTTGTAAGAACAAGCACGGTATGGTCAGTCTCTGGTGTATACCTCTGGGTACAGGCTGAGTGTGCACAAGCACTTGCATATATGTTCACTGCAGTGTACCCAGGCTGTGGGATGGTGCACTCTGTCTTTCTCAGTTAACAATACACCTTAGGGCCAGGCATAATAGTACATGCCTGTAATCTCAGCACTCTGGGAGGCTAAGGCAGCAAGATCAGGGGTTCAAGCCCAGTCTGGTGATTTGGTGAGATCTTGTCTCAAAAAAGTGAAAAGGGCTAAGGATGTAGCTTAGTGTAAGGCCCTGGGTTCAGTTCTCAGTGCACACACACACACACACACACACACACACCCCTCTCTTTACCAGGATTGTAAACCCACTCATTCTTTTTAATGGTAAGTTCCCCATATGCTTGTATCATGCTTTAATTTAACCAGCTCTCTAATGAAGGACTTTTAGGTTGTTCCCAATCATTATGCTACAGTGCTATAATAAATGTTCTTATAAAAAATGTCTCATGTAAGGCTGTAGCTCAATGATAGTGAGTGTGCTTAGCATGTGCAAAATCTGGGTTCCATCCTCAGCACCACAGAGTAAAAAGTCTCGTGTGCATGAATGGCTATATTGACGGGTAAACTGTAATTGTGCTGGGTGAGACTGTGTGCATTTTAAATATTGGGCAAGAAGGCCAAGTAGCCCTGCAAACCAAACCCTATTTTTCTAGCTGTTTTCATCTGCACAGATAGTTATGACACATCTATCATCCCTTTTACACATCTACATACACACTTGTGCCTCCTAGATCCCCCTTTAACACATGAGTACCCTCTTGGCTGCCACTCTGTTGCACACCTGAAACCCCAGTTCCCTGAAACTGATGCTGGGGTCTTGGCAAATCATGGATGCAATGAGTTCCAGGCTTTAATGCATGGTTTAGGGTCTGAGGGTGTCAGCAACAGCCACGTGGGAGGCTGCTGGACACATATATGAGGACACAAGCACCACCCACTGTACTCACTACGCCCAGAAGTTCCCTGAGAGTGGGGATGAGGAGCTGGCAGGGGGGTCCTCAGAAGCTGATGAGACTCGGCTGTAAAGAGAGCCCTGCCCAGCCCTGGCTGGGCTCCCCAGCAGCTGCTGGGACAATACTGTCAGGTCTGTGAATGCAGAGGGAAGCACCCACTGCTTCCCTCTGGGGCACCCTCCTGGGGCTCCAGAAGTCACATACCCACTTCTCCACAGTTCCATGACTGCTCTCACTAAGCTGTGCTCCGGCAGGCAGAAACGTTGCCCTATCAGCACCCATGGGTGCTGGGACCTGGACAGGGCTGAGCAGGTTACACCCCTCCTGGCCAGGCCTGAATCCTCCCCCAGCCCCAGACCTCAGCAGGGGCATTGGGGCCAGTATATGGAATATAACAGTACATCGTGAAAGTCACTTTTTGGCTCCGAGCCAGGTCCTTGGTATTTTAGAGCATTTTTCCAGAGCAAAGGACAAAGTGGCTCCTTACATGGCAGACACTGGCTTCCTTGGCTGTAGGCCCAGTGGAGAACTTTGAGCCAGGAGCCGTCACTGTGCAATGAGCCTTCTCGGTCAAGTTCACACTTGGTATATTTGGTAGCTTGGGCCCTAGGGAAGCTGCTCTATCTCACGCCAGAAGGCCCAGAGTCCCTTGCCAGAGAAACACCTCCTGTCCTGTCTTTGTTACTTTCTCACTGCTGGAACACAACACCCAACACCTACAACTTGAAGAAGGTTTGTTTTGGCTCTTGTTTCTGTCCATGGTTGACAGTTTGGAAGCAAGAAAGCAGGGCCTGGCACAGGAAAGCTGCTCAAGTCAGGGCAGCCAGGAACAGGAAGACAGAAAAGAACAGGGGAGCAGACCCACCTTCCAGCTCACACCCCTGCGACCACCTCCTATCAACACCCTGAGCTATAAACTCACACTGGACTGTAACATCCCCAAGATCATACGAGGCTTTGGAGGACATCTAGATATAAACCATAACACCGTCGACTGCAGCTTACAAATGCATCTCCAGCTCAGTCACACTTCTGCTTATAAGTTATTGGAAAGAAGTTAGTCACACAGCCCCTCCTAGCTGAAAAGAGGTTTGGGAAATACAGCTTCTATTTGCAATGGTTTGCAACCAGTTAAAAATCAGGAGTCCTCAGTGGAGGGAAAGCAGACCTCAGGGGAAGGGGCAACTTACAACTTCTGCCACACCACTCTGTAAATGTATAGTTGAGTCCTTTCCATATGTTTACGGTTATGTGCACTGGGCCTGGTGGTACAGGGCTTTAAAATCAGCACTGGGAAGCTGAGGCACGTGCAAGCCCAGCCTGGGTGACTTAGTGAGAAAAGCTCTTTATATTTTTCTTCTATTTGATAACGGATAATAATTTTTATTCACTATTCACATCACATATTTTTCTAGCTTATAGTTTTTCTTTTCTTTCACACTTTCTTTAAATAAATGGTTCTTAGTTGTTTTTATTTTTTTTATTTTTTATTTAAAGACAAGGTCTCATTGTGCAGGTCAGGCTGGCCTTAAACTCACTATGTAGCCCAGGTTGTCCTTGAACTCATGGAGATCCTCCTGCCTCAGCCTCCCAAGTGCTGGGATTACAGGTTTTTGGTTTTAATTTAGTGGAATTATCATTTCCATGCTTTGTTATTTTGAGTTATGCTTTAAAAACTTTTCCTAATCATGAAGTTATCATGTGATTCCCTTGTATTTTTCTAATATTTTATTTCATTTTCTATATTTAATTTTTTGAAATAATTTAAGAAAGGGAATGCAATTTTTTTACCCATATGAGAAACTAATTGTCCTATGTACTTCGTAATTGCTTAAGTTTTTAATTTTGCTCTAATTTAATATGCAGAAAGTGATAGGAATTCTCTTGAGAGTCAACTGGGAGCTTCTGACTTGCTGTATGGTGCCTGGGTAATGCTTTTGCATACCTAGCTGGAGTTAACACATGAGGTTCTGCCTGGTGTTTTGGAAGTCTGATCGACACTCATCTGCCCTCCAGCTCTGCCATAAACCTAGCTTCCGGGCACGGATCCTGTCTGTTCCCACGGTGTTAACATAATAGTTTCAGGGCTGGGGGTTTAGCTCAGCTGCATAAGCACCTGCCTTGCAAGCAGTTGTTCGTGAGTTTGATACCTGGTACCGATAAAAAAGAAAAAACCCAAACAAAACAAAAACAATAGTTTCAAATATGTTTTCCTCTCTGTTTGGGCATCCCCCCCCAGGAAGTCTTTGCTACTTCTGGGCTCTACTTTTTCCATACAGGTAATAAAATCAGCTCACCAAATTCCATAAAAGGGATTTCTACATACTCAACTTATTTCAATTATTCACGATTGTTCTTTGCTCTTTTAATGTTCACAAGTTGGCTGGTTGAGATCTTTGTCTTTCCTCACCTGTGACACACATTTTAAAAGCATCTCGTTGGGCACAAGGTACACTCTTGTCATCTCAGGTACTTGGGAGGATGAGACAGGAGCACTGCAAATTCAAGCCTAGGCCATGAAACAGCAATATAGTGAGAGCCTGTTTCAAAATAAAAAGGAGGAAAAAAGTAAAAATGAGCTGAGAATATAGCTCAGTGCAAAGACTCTGGGCTCAATCTGTAGTACGGGGGGAGGCGAGAATCATCTAAATATCTTGAACCCCCCAGCAAATAAAATCCAGTTTTTGACCCAAAATGTGGAACCACCACTTTGTGGTTTTTTCTTTTTTCTTTTGTCTTTTTGAGACAGGGTCTTGCTATGCAGTTCATGCTGGCTTTGAGCTTACTTTGTAGCCCAGGCTTGAACTTGAAACAATCCTTCTGCCTCCTGAGTGCTGGGATTACACGTGTGAGCCATCACACCTGGCTCGGAACCACCACTTTGAATGGGGAATAGAAACAAAGACCAGAACTTGGGGGTACGGGCTAGATAGTCTCACGTGGGTGTTGGTGATGAACATGAATGCGGTATTTATCCACGGCAAGAGCTAGGAAACGTGCTTCTAGAGTCCTGAATTCATAGTGATAGTTCCGGCAGATTGGAACTCCACAAAATTCTTTAAAAAGTTTACGGTCACATACAAGCTGTGATTTTCTCTACAATTTAGTTACTATAATTGTGTCACCGAAATCAGGTCTGGAGGCTGAGCCCACAGGAAAACCACGTCTCACAGACAAGTGCTGGGGCAGAAGACAGGCTGTGGTTCCTGGCAGAAGAACGGGGAGGAGGGAAGTTCGCTCACAAGGCAGCTTCGATTCTAGAGAATCGAGGATAGCAATGATGAAGGAGAGAGCCTCGCTAATATTGATGCTTTTCCGGGAACAGGCTGAGATTATCCAGGAACTCTGGTGCTATTTCTTTTCCCTCCTTTCATGTCTGGTGTTCCTGTTTGGTTGTTTGATTTTTAAATGTAGTTTAGTTTAGTTTAGTTTTGCTTGAGACAGAGTCTCCCTAAGTACTTCAAACTGGTCTTAAACTCACCAGGTAACCTAGGCTGACCTCGAGCTCACAGCGATCCTCCTGCCTCAGCCTCCTAAGTGTTGGGCACATGCCACCACACTCAGCCAAAATTAGTGATTTTTAAGTCAATCAGGAAGAAGGAAAACCTGAGCATGGTGGCACACACCTGCAGTGCCAGCTATTCAGCAGCCTGAGGTGGGAGGACTGTAAGCTTGAGGCTGAATAAGAGAGACCCTGCCTTGAAGTAATAGAAAGGGCCAATGTTGTAGCTCAGTCCCAGTGTTTACCTAGCATGGAGGAAGCCCTGGATTCAGTTCCCAGGGTTGCAGGGAAAGAAGAGCAAATGAATCTAGAGGGGTTTTTTAGATTTTTCCTTACCAACAAATATAATTATAATTTTAATCATAACTCCTGAAATGTGTGGCATTTTTTCACTATAATGGTTTATTACATTTATGCAGATAAAGATCCAAGTTTT